CCTACAAGGTAATAAACTCTCATTGGCAGACCATATTTGAGACAGTTGTCTGTACCAAGACTATCATTTGATATTATGTTTATAGGATAAATAACACATTTAACCATTTATTTTCTTTTTGTTTTTACAGAGGTCTGGTGTTTGACACCATGTATGGCAACCTCCTGAAGGTAGATGCTTATGGAAACATCCTGGTCTGTGTCCATGGCTTTAACTTCCTGCGAGGGTGAGTAATCCCGGCCCCCGTCAAACCCTGACTTTATGGTCTTGGTCACTGAACTCTAATGAACCCTATGAAGTATGTGCTCATAATGTTCCTGTGTTCCCTGCCAGCCCTGACACCCGAGAGCTCTATCCCAACAAGTTTATCCAGCGTGATGACACAGAACGCTTCTACATCCTCAACACACTCTTTAACCTTCCAGGTAGGCACTTTATCATTGTCCTATACGTAGCCCTGTCACTGGCTGCCATTCAGATACACATTAACAGTGGCTCTTTTTAACTCTTAATGCTTACGTGTGCATGAGGAGTGTGTTTTTTATTTTAAATTCCTGAGTTGCTTCCTGAGAATATTTGTTCTAACTAACGGCCATGTATATAGTCTTCAGAAACAGGTTGTAATTGTATTTGTGTGCAGTTATTCTTTTTGGGGGGGTTTTTCTTTCGTACAGTATGACAGAGTAATGAAGTGATTCATTCTTGGTGATTCAGAGATTCATGCTTGGATTGAAATTTAAGGTCATAACTGTAACACATTAATTACATTTTAAGCAGGAAATTAATTTTTTAATTCTTTTGTTTTTTACTTATCTTTTAATAAACTATGCTACGATCCAACTGAACTTGATCAATAATAATTGCGCATTATGAGAGCATATGGCAAAAAAGCAGCTTTGCCATTTTGTCTGGAAAAAAGGCCATGTGTTTGGAATGACATAAGGTGAGTAGATATTGCCAGAATTTTCCATTTAAAGCAAATTATTACTTGAACTGACCAGATGACATGAGAGTTTTAGACCTTCTTACCTGCAATAAGGTAAGTGCATTTTTTTTGCAAGATAAAATATTTTTTGTTGCATTTTCAAATGCACTTTCATCAAAACTGCTTGTGTAAGTTTTTTTTAATGTTACTAAAAGAAGTCTCTTATGCTCAACAAGGCTGCATTTATTTGATCAGAAATACAGTAAAAATAGTAATATTGTGAAATATTACAATTTAAAATAATTGTTCTCTATTTGAATATATTTTAAAATGTAATTAAGTTGACTTGAGAAAGCCAACTTGCTGAAATGCTACTTAAGCTTATTTTTAGTGGTGTTTGCCTATAAGGCAAAGCATCACTATTGTTCTCTTGCATACTTATTTTTAGTGGTGCTTGCCAAAGGCAAAGCATCACTATTGCTCTCTTACTAGGGTAGGGTATCGAAACCCGGTACCAATATGGCACCGGTACCTATGTAACAGGTATGTACTGGAACGAATCAGAACGCATTTTCGGTGCCTCATTTCGGTGCCATGTCTGAGCGATCGATTGAAATATTTGTTCTCTGAAAGCTTCTACATCCTCAACACACTCTTTAACCTTCCAGGTAGGCACTTAATCACTGTCCTACATAGCCCTGTCACTGGCTGCCATTTAGAGACACATTAAAGGAACATCTTGGAAAATTAAAAGTTGCGATTTTCTAGGCCGATATGGCTAGGAACTATACTCTCATTCCGGCGTAATAATCAAGGAACTTTGCTGCTGTTCCATGGGTGCAGCAGGCGCAATGATATTACGCAGCGCCTGAAAATAGTCCCCAGCTAGGTAACTTCCAACGTCACCGGCACTAAGTTTGTGTAGTTGGTTATGTTGACAGAAGTTAGCCTATTTTCAGGTGCTGTGTAATATAATTGCGCCTGCTGCTCCAGTCTTCAGTGTCACATGATCCTTCAGAAATCATTATACTACGTTGATTTGCTGCTCAAGAAAAATTTCTTTTTTTTATCAATGTTGAAAATAGTTTTTGCTGATTAATGTTTTTGTAGAAACCGTAATCCTTTTTGTTTTGCTTTTTAGAATTCTGTGATGAATAGAAAGTTCAAAAGAACAGCATTTATTTGAAATGGGAATGTTTTTACTGTCATTGGTCTTTAAAAAATAAATAAATAAAAAATTATTACTGACCCCAAACATTTGAACAGTGGTATATAATTTAAATTATATACAAAAATAAACAGGATCTGAGAACAACTTTCACAATCTCCTTCTTTCTATATATGTTTTTCTCTCTCTCTGCACAGAAACATACCTTTTAGCCTGCCTGGTTGACTTCTTCTCAAACTGTGACCGTTATTCAAGGTAGGAGTTCCAGTGACTATGATTCTATTAATCTGTTGTCTTGGACACTGCATACAGCCATACCACTGATTCAGTATCAGTAAATCAGTATAATTTACTGTGGGTGAGGCTATTTGAAGCTCTCTCTATATCAATTCACCAGCAAACACGTTATGTCTTGATAAGAAAATCCTAATACAGCATAAAAAATGTATAACTATGCTATAAAACAGGATGACACGAGCAGATTGTAGTCTGTGGTTGGATTCATGTTCGTGCATGCCATAATTTATCATCCATTTACTGTAACTGGCTAATGACTAATCAAAGTGCATGTAAAATAAAAAAGTTGAAATTTATAACTTTTAAATGGCATGGAAATAATTCTACTCATGCTCTGAAAAAAAAATAAACAAAAAAAAAACAACAGCCAGACCTATTTAGTGTAGATAAAATCTGTAAAAACATAATAGTCTGTGATTTGTGTTTTGGTATGGATGCATGTCCTCTGAAACACCTGTTGGTCCTTTTAGGGGGAGAGAGCTTTCCTGTTTGGCTCGGACAACCTCAAACAAGGGAAGACTGTCCCATTTAAACATGTCTGACTGTCGATATTAAACATGTCTGACTGTCGATAAAATGTGTCAGAGCTGGAGCTCGGCCTCTTACTCTGCTGCCCCTTTGTTCTTTTTAAACCTTTAGCTGTGAAAAGGGCTTTAAGGATGGAGACCTCTTCATGTCCTTCAAGAGCATGTTCCAAGATGTCCGAGATGCTGTAGACTGGGTACATTTCAAGGTAAAAAGGTTCTCTGTTTCTCCTTCTGTCAGAGTAATCTGTCAAATAGCAGGCAGCTATGATTAACTGTGAAATGCATGTAAATGGTACAGGTAGGTACTGGATTCCTGATTTAAAGGGGTCATATGATGCAATTTCAAGTTTTCCTTTCTCTTTGGAGTCTTTTAGATGCGTTATCATAAGCTTGCTCTGCTGTTAAAGGTTTTATTTATTTTCTCAGGGAACGTTGAAAAAGAAAACAGTGGAAAACCTGGAGAAGTATGTTGTGAAAGATGTAAGTTTGTCTTTTAATTTCTGAAGTTACTGACTTGCCTTGTTGTGTTTGTGTTGTATTTCTGAGAATAACTGATTTTTCTTTTCTTTTTTTTAGGCCAAGTTGCCATTGCTGCTGAGCCGCATGAATGAAGTCGCTAAAGTTTTCTTAGCCACCAACAGTGACTACAAATACACAGACGTGAGTTTACTGATGCAAATACATACATGAGATTTGTTTCAGAATTAGCTGCATATTGAGAACATGCTAACATGAGAGATTTGGATCGCTTTACACTGGCCGATTTGTGTAAGCGAACAGTTCAGTACTCTAATAACATGCCACACACAAATGTTGGTTAAAATAATCAATTTTAATAGACCTTAATCAGGGTAGACAGCATAGCTTTCAAAACTCTTTTGTTCTACTGAAAGTTTTTTCGGAAATATTTCATTAGCTGAATAATCAGTCTGTTGTTAAATAATCCATTAAAGGGTTAGTTCACCCAAATATGAAAATTCTGTCATTAATTACTCACCCTCATGTCGTTCTAAACCCGTAAGACCTCCATTCATCTTCGGAACACAAATTAAGATATTTTTGATGAATTCTGAGAGCTCTCTGACCCTCCCATAGACAGCAATGTACTTACCACGATCAAGGTCCAGAAACGTAGCAAGGAGATCTGTAAAATGATCCATGTGACATCAGGGGTTCAACAGTAATTTTACAAAGCTACGAGAATACTTTTTGTATGCAAAGAAAACAAAAATAACGACAATTCGTCTCCTCCGCGTCACCCTGGTGCCATTTTGGAGAATATCCACTGAACGTAAACAGCGTATGCTATTCTGTGTCAGCTGCGTCACACGGATACTTTTTCTATGTTGTTTGCGCTTTGATTTGAACAAAAACAACGTATCCACGTGACTAGGGCTGGGCAAAAAAAAAGATTTTTCGATTAATCGTTTTTTTAAATGACATCGATTCGATATCGATTCTCAAAAGCTGCGAATCGATCTTTTCCTGTATTTATTTCAGCACACATTTAAAACAAGATCTGATTAACGTGAATCTTATCATTAGTCTTCTCCACTAGAAGAGCCCTTATTTGACCCTTATTTACCTTGCGCGATGTTACAACAGAAAGCCTGTCATTCATTCAGCGCTTATCATGGCCATACGCGTGATTTGCAATGCTCAGGTGAAATGCTATAGTAATACTATAAATCTGCGGAAGCATTTGATATCACGCATAAGGCGCCATGATTTCCGCAATGAATGAATGAATGGCGGATGGCGCGGCGCACTTTGTTTACTACACACATACTAAAGTGCGGATGACGCTCGCGGTGTTTTCAGCTTCTGCCGTCTCACTATATGATGATATGAACACGAATGTCATCTCCAGCTGCTCTGAGAGTCACTTCATTAGCATTTACCGTTTCATTTGAGAAATCTACCGTCATATCACATACACAGCAGCTGGAAGTTCTTCACGGCAACCCGTCAAAATAAAAGTT